AGTAACAGTCAGTATTATGGCAAGAGGGACACCACCTTGAAGCAAAACTGCCATGTTCACTTATCTCACATACCAAGATGTTCTTCAGCCAGGTTAAGGGAATGTCCATAGTATGAATACACCTCATAAAGATGGTTATCCAACCTTCCCAGTGGTCATGACTTTCACCACAAAGCCTCATATGTGACCAGCTATATTCATTTCCCCTAAAAGCTTGAGAGATAAAAACTACTTTCTATATGGTGTGTGTGGTGATCCACTATCAATTTTTTCCCTTTAGTTCTGTAAATATTTTCTAGATTGTTTTATGCATGGATTTCAGGATTGTTCCGTTTCCCTGATAAATTGAGCTTTTTTATCATTATAAAATAAACTCCCTTGTGATACAATATGGAGTTTTATTTTAAAGCTGACTTTACATCATATTATCATAATGACATCAGATTTCTTCAGATGATGTTTCTATCGTCCATTTTTGTATCATTTTCATTTAAAGTTTTCTTGTGTTTATTTTGAATTGTATTCACATAAGTAGTATGTTGTTGGAGTTTTAAAATCTTGGCTGTCAATATTAGTTTTCTACTTGAAATAATTTGTCTATTTCTACTTAATATAATTCTATTTTTCATTTCTAGAAAGTTTTTCCCCAAATGCTACCATTTTTTTCTCTAAGTCTCTTGTTGCTGACTTTTTTATGAAATTGTATCCCGATGTTTAAAACATTACACATAAGTAAAACATCTATATGTATTTTTCCTGTTCATTCCAATATGTAAGTTCGTTGCTTGCTTTTCATTGGTTATGTCCTTTTAGTTTTGCTGACTATAATTCATAGTCTGTTCCTATGCTTGATAATATTTCCTAGTGAACTCACTCATTGTAATTTTTTTGATAGGAGCCATGCCAGCCTAAATGGAAAGAAGCTCTTCTACAAAGGTTACTTATTTTTTAAATAAAGGTAAATATAGTATGAATCTTAAAGGCTTGTAGTCTTTTCTGAAGTTAAAATGAGAAAATGACCCTAAAGTACTTAACATCATGACAGGAGCATAATCAAGGATCTCTAAATGTTCAATTTCCCTTCTGATTTTTGGATCAACATCTTGGCTTACCTAGTTGTTTCCTGCTTCCTCCTTTAGGTTGTAAACTCCAGAAATCATGAAAGATTTGGTATCCTATCTACCACAATATTTTCTCAATGAGCTGACAAGATTTTGGTATATTTAGATATGTAGTAAATACTTACTGAATAAATGAATGAAAGGGTAACATTAAGTAAAATATGTTAAAAGAAAAGACCTTTCCTAAGAGCCTTGCATGTCAGAAGAGACTGATATGGTCTTCTGCATTGATGAATGTAATAGCTATGCATACAGAAACCACAGAAACAATTTTGTATGATAATATTTGTGAAATTTACCATACCCATAATTGCACTTAAAATTAAAGAAAAATTAAATTATACACTCAGAGTAAGTTTGTATAACAGGTAGGAGAATTTATTACTTCTATATGGTCCTTTGCATATATATACAGAAACTCTGTTCATAAACAATGTAAATGAGGATTATTTGCGTTCGAAGAATATTAAGTTATTATGTCTATTGTGTTTTGTATCCTATATGAACCTGTCTGACATCCATTCAGTATAATTCAATTTAATGAATGCAAAATAATCTCAGAAGGACAAGTAAAATCCATGAAACAGATACTTTAATTTGCATCTTAACAAAGTGTCAGCAGGCATTCAGTCTGAACACACATTTTCTAAATTTGCTGTGCTTTGTAGATGCAAGTGGAGGGGTGTCCAAGAAGATATTTCTGATTCCATCACAAGGCATTCCTGGGCACTTTTAAGTCTTTATAGAACAAAAGGGAAGAAATCACTTTTTCATTGAACAACCAATATATGCCTAGACTGCAGCAGGTAATCAAAAATAGACGTAATAGAATCTAAGACAAGGTTTGGCAGATATGCTAAGTGTACTGGAAAGCATCTTCCTTTTTGCTGCAATTATGGAGTCCATCCTGGGGGTATTAGGTAACGGGTTTATTGCACTTGTGTACTGCATCGAATGTGTCAAGAAGAAGCTCTCTATGCTTGGCTTTATTCTCACTGGCTTAGCAATTTCGAGAATTTGTCTGATATGGGTAATAATGATAGATGGAGTAATGGGTGTATTGTCTCCATATACTTATTACTCTAGCAACCTAAAGGAATACATTAGTTACGTATGGGTAATTATCAATCATTCCAGTATCTGTTTTGCCACCAGCCTCAACATCTTCTATTTCCTGAAGATAGCAAACTTTCCCCACTACATGTTTCTCTGGTTGAAAAGGAGAATCAGGAGAATTCTTCCTCTTCTAATGGGGTTCTTGGTTATTTCATTATTAATTACTCTTCCGCAAGTCATAAAGATTTCTAATGATAAAATGAAGAACAGAAATACAACCTGCCAATTCAAGATGCAAAAAAGTGAGTTCTTTGTTCAACAGGTATCAATAAATCTGGGAGTCATCTTCTTTCTTACACTATCCTTAATTACAGGTTTCCTGTTAATCATTTCCCTTTGGAGACATAGTAGGAAGATGCAATTGAATGGCCCCGGATTCAGAGACCCCAACAATGAAGCTCATGTAAAGGCAATGAAAGTGCTGATATCTTTCATCATCCTCTTTATCTTATATTTTATAGGCTTTGGCATAGAAATAATATCTTCTGTGCTAGAAAACAAACTTGTATTACTTTTTGGAATGACAACATCAACCATCTATCCCTGGGCTCACTCATTTATCCTAATTCTAGGAAACAGCAAACTAAAGCAGACCTCTTTGCAGATACTGCAGCAATTAATGTTTTGTAACAGACAGTAATGTCAGAGCTGGAAGAGAAATGGATGTTCTAGGAGAATAATCCATTGAAGATATTTTTGAAGATCTGCTTTGCTTGTACCACATTCTTATGTTGGTTGTTATCCATGTTATTAAACGTCACTGAAATCTTTCATAATTGCTTTGAATGTATCTTAAGGATTCTCACTCCTTGGTGACATTTTAATGTCCCATGTTAATGCAGTGTTTTGGTCAGATTTCTTGTCTTGCAACTTCTTCCCACACAGCTCCCCAAGGAAAAACATCTACTTGGAGACTATTCACTGTATAGATTATGACACTGACAAAAAGCATCTACAACATGATGTTTCATTGCATTTTTCCTGACATCCCTGAAGGATCAACATTCATTCTCTAAGAAGACCAAAAGTAGCAGAAATCAGTAAAAAGAAATTTGTGATCAATCTTTACATGAGATTGAGTAACAAACAGGGGTGCTTCTTCTCAATGTGCTATTTTAATTCTTTAATGAATGACTTGATACTCACAGTTAAAAATCTAACATCTTTTTTTTCCTGGTGTGTGTTGGATGCAATAGCAGTAATCAAAGTAGTCAATGCAGTTCTGTCAAAAACAGCTGGAGAAACAGAGTCTACTCACAGGAGACAGGATCAGAGCACTGATGCAATGACTCTTTATGTACTTCAAATGCTGTGATTTGAGATGAAGCAAAATTATGACCCAATTAGTACTGGGTAGAGATTTCACTGTAAGTATCAATGCAAAGGATTCAATATAGTCTCTGACTAAGGACAAAAAGTAGAACTTAGGATGAAAGTTGTGCAAAGTATGAAATGTTCTGCTCTAGAGTTTCACACACACATATACACACACATTCACAGACACAGACTTGTATTCACAGACATACTTCAAATGCTAAATTTTAAAGTGAATTTTGATGTCCAATCCAGTATATGAATGGAGTGACATTTTGGCAACTCACAGAAATATCTCATTTTTATACTTATGGCTTAATGTCTAGAATATTTTTCAATCTAAGGTTTAATACATTTCCTATATAAGGTTCCCAAATCAACACTTTATATTTTGAAGCAAAATATGTTTGTAATATACATATAACTAAGAGATAATGGGGAAAAAAACTAATGCCACTACCCAGAGTCAACCAAATTTACAAGAGCGGTTTATTTAAAATTATATCATAAACAGTAATGCACTCTATATATATTACATTAGATTTTACTTCTTTTCTATGATTGGAAAGACTGTATCGCCATTTTTGAAGATGTATAAAAGCTTATGCTACAGACATATAATAATGTACTTAATATTTATCATATTGTTTATACTCCTGTTGTCATCATTTTCTACTGATAAGAAAAATAAGCAAATATGAGTATGGTAGAGCATGAATACTATTCATTCATTCAAGAAAAATTTTTCTATGCTAACTCTGCTACATGTTGAGGATATAGTATTGAACAATGCACCATATAATGTATAATATATTCTAGTAGAAAAACAAACAAAAAGCAAAAAATCACCTAAACAACTTTGTGTTGTATTGGGAGAAAAAAACTAATGGGTGCTCACCAGTGTTTTGACTTGGTCCTAGGAGTAGAGAAGGTGTCAAGGAGGTGAAGATGGAGTAGTGTGAAATCTGAACTCTGCACAGGAGTAAGGTAGCAGAGCAGGGAGGATTCGGGATGGGAAAGCTGCATGTGCAGAGCCTGAGGCAAGAAGGGGTCCAGAACATGGCAGCAAGTGAAGATCCAGTATGACTAATACATACAGAGAACTGCATTTCAATAGTCTTTTAAGTGAAACTCCATCAAGGAGGAATTTGATAATTTTTTTTTGCAGAATTGATGCATTTCTTAAAGGAAATAGTAAACCAACACTTTAATAGTGAAAAAATAACCAAATATTCCAATCAGAAAATCAAGCAAGTTTCCTATATTTAATGTTGTTACCTGAATTGCAAAAATATCTTTAATTCTCATTCAAGTGCATAAGGCAGTTATAGAGGATTGTTAACCAACAGCAAGTAGTAACTTATACATATACTTTTGGGGAATTGTTGTTTGTTTTCTTCTTATCTTGTGATTGCTGATTGTTTCCCTTATGGCCTTTGCATTTTATATAGTGCACTGTCCCATGTGTGCATTATGTTTTTTTTCTTAATTTGATCATTAAATAAACAACTTAATTTTTTATATAGGTTTGTAATGTCTATGAACTTTATTCAATTTATGTTTTCCTAATCTCTTATTCTACTGCTATTTTTGCTAGTATGAACTTGGGTTTATTGACACCTATTCCATTATCAATAGCTCCATTTTTATAGATTCATTGCACATGAAATGAGAAAACACAGAAACGTATGAAGGAGAAATTGATTATGAACATTTATACTACTCAACTAATCATTGTTAATATGTTTCTACATAGATATTAAAAATGATTTAAAGATAGATAAATAATAGGTCTGTTGCTGAGAAGTCTGCTTGGATTTTATTTATGCATAAACTGGATAAATGGGTAATCCATGGACAGCACACGTAGAGATATTTTTATTTCCTTTTAGTCTTCTGAATAATTTATGTAACCAGAGATGTAAACTTAAATAAAATATAAGGTATGTGAGCAAAATCTTTCTGGTTAACATTCCTTGAGAAATAAGGGAAAGAATCTTCCCCAGCATTTGCATGAACTGTGTAAGTACTGACTCTGAGGTCTGCTGCCTTTGCAGTTCTGATTATTTACTTTCTTGTTTGTAATGATTTTGATTATGTTGGATCAGGCCTCATGTATTTTGTGAGTCTACATTCAACTCTGTTTCATCAGAACTTTATCTAGTGGTGTTCTCTGGGAACACATTTACAGTGTACTATGTCAGAAAGAATTTGACTTTGCTTACAAAAGTTCACTGGGGTCCCTACCAGTCTTGAATTTCTTTACTAAAATTTTTCATTTGAAAATTCTTAGGCAATACAGAGTATAAACTCTGGTCTCCAATATAGATACATGCAATGCTATTAGTAGAAAAGTTCTCAGAAGGATAGACCTTTACATTCCTGTTTCACTTAGTGTTGCATTTCAGAGGTAAGTACTTCTACTGCTAATATTTTGCTGGATGTACATTATTTTCTCAGTTCCCATTAAAATATTGCCTTTCAGGATCTGGGTTTATTGATAATAGCAAATTCCACTTTCAGTTTTGGAGAGTCCCAGGTAGATATCTCAACCAACGTGCACATGGTCCCCGAAAGACTGGTTTACAAATGGTAAAGAAAAACAATGAGATATTATTCATCCATAAAAATTTTAAACAGAAATGAAATCCTGTGATTTGTACCAACACGGCTGGAACTAGAGGAAGTTATGTTATGAGAAATGAGCCAGGAATGTATAGTTAAAAACCATATCCTCTCACTCATATACAGAAGCTTAAAAGAGTTGATGAGGGCACTGTGTAAGAAAGGGCCATAGACAGTCACAGCTATGAGTTGGCTTCTTCCGTGGGCCCTTCATTTGGCGACAAAGCCAAAGGCCCACCTAGAAACAGAAGCAAAAACTAAACAGCCAGAGGAGGAATTGCAACTAGAAAAGGACATGTGCCTTTCTGCTCTTTTTCTTATGTCTAACTCATGGACAAAATTGCAGACCAAGAGACCAAAATTAAAACATTGTCATGAAGATTTGTATGCCTGAGGGAAAAGAAATGGAAATGACTGAAAGTCAGAGGTGTTATAACTAGATAACTATAGATGTCTGTACCCAAATGGGATGTGAAAACCTAGAATCCCAGGGGATGTTATGGAGAGAAAGACTCTGAAGACCTAGAAGGCATAGAGCAGGATGGCAAATGGGATCACTAGCAAATTCTCCCCTCATTCAAACGAAAGGGAAACCTTAACAATTGCAGCAAATGGGGTCAAGTGATCCAGGAGACTCACTATCAGGGAATAGCCTGAGTAGACTCTTAGAGATTGCAGAGGCCTTAAACAACTGTCTTGAGGACTCTTGATTGTTTGGATGGTGATGTGAGGGACACAGAGTGTGGTAGGTAGTTTTTAGTTTGAAAGAAAGCAGACAGATGAGTAACATAAAAACTCATGCACTGCTACAGCAACACATTCATAACACAACACCAGCACAGGGAATCTTTCTAGGGACAGGATTATTTTAGCTGTAAGACAGACTTACCTAACTCAGAAGATTTATCAGGAGGGACAGTCTTCTGGTCAGCAATTGGAGCAACTCAGGGGCTGCTACAAATACTAAGAATGAGGATAGATTAGCCGTTTACTATCTTTTCTGAGTCCATAGTGAATGAAGGTATATATTATGTGAGAAAAGCCACAGAAAACTTTGGTATAAACCAAGAAGGCCAGGACAGGGGCAACTTATAAGTTGACAAAATCCAATAAAGGGGGAAAAAGAAAACCCAACAGAAGAAGGGAAACAAGGAAAGGGAACAGTAAGATCATGTTGAAGCAAATGTGGCATGAATTACGGGGAGCAGAATAACCTGAGAAAAATATTAACAAATCACCTCATGCTGTAGCAGCCTCATGATAGGAACCACAGCCTGAGCAGAAGTTTTGTCCTTGCCCTTCCCTGAGGGAAGATGAATCAACCTCTTGACAATTCTACTTCCCTGGCCAATCAAGGGTGGGTCCGAGGTTAGGACTAAGAATAGGAGCTGGACCATGGTCAACACCATATTTGAGCATTAGGGAGCACCCAAGCCTGGTATTGAGTCTGCCATTTAATATTCCTCCAAAATAAACAAGCAAAAACGGCCTTAGGAAACAATGGAATACAATATACTATAAT